GCAGGGGGCCTGGACGGGGCGGGGCCTGGACGGGGGCGGGGCCTGGACGGGGGCGGGGCGCGTCTCACCGATGGGCACCGAGGAGTCGTACACCACCAGGCCGGTCTTGGACCACTTGCCCAGGGGGTCCAGGTTGACTCCGCGATTGATGAGAGCCTGAAAGTGAGGAGGACGGACGGGAGAAAACCTCGGGAGCTGCTCTGCCTAGCAGACACCCGAGGCCCAGCGCAGCGGCTCCGGCCTGTCATCCCAGCCGAGACTGGAGGACGCAGGTGGAAGGCAGTCTGGAGAGGGAAAGGCTGTGAAGCTCTGATCGCCAATGAATGGGCAAGAAAACACCCCAGAAATGGAGCTGGGGCTCAGCGTTGAATAAACAGGTGAAAGTCCAGCAGCCAGGCCCTGAGTTCAAATCCTAGTATCCTCAGAGGGAGAGGAACTGACATGCAGGCACAGATGTGGGGGTTAGAGGTCACAGTCCCTGGCCCCTTGGGGCCCACGGCTCTCAGCACCCAGACCCAGGTTTGCAGGTGTAGGAGGCGCGGGGTGGGGGCGGGGGATGGGGTGGGGGGTGATCGTGGGTGTGCAGCAGCAGTACCCCCACCCTGGGCCGAGACCTCACCTGGGCCAGGTCTCGGCGCCGGGTCTTCAGGGTGTTGGTACGGAGGGTGATGGGCCGGGGCACCTCATTGGCTTCTAGGAACTCGATCAGCTGCGTCAGAGACGAGAGGGCGGGGCCTCAGCACGCGTGGGGGGGGGGTTTGCCCAGGAGGCTGAGATCTGAGGATCACAGTTCAAAGCCAGCCCGGGCAGGCAAAGTCTTTGGAGTGGCTCAAAGGTAGAGCGCCAGCTGAGCTGCAAAAGCTCAGGGACAACGCGGCCAGGCCCTGAGTTCCAACCCCAGGACAACAAAAGTGGGGGGGGGGGGGACGCACCTCGGCCAGGGGGAAGAGCTCCATGAGCTTGCGCAGCAGGAAGTCCCCGTAGGAGTAGTAGGTGGCCAGGTCCTTCTGCAGGCGGCTCAGATACTCGGCGCGGGAGCGGCCTTCTTCCCGCTGCGCCCCGAAATCACGCAGCACCCCCACGAGGTCCTGGATCCGCTTGTGCACGCGCTGCAGGTCGGGGGCCTGGGCATGTGGGTGCAGTCAAGGGGCTGTCC